GAAGTGTGAGCTCCCAGGCAGCTTTGCCAATTGCCTTGTTCAATTCAATGTTTGAATATTCGCTGATCTCGCTGGCTCTCAGGCAATGTTCTGTGTTCTATCACTGATCTACAGAACCAGTAAATAACAATGCATTGTGTGGATTTGGGAAGAAAACTTGCCTCTTAAGCATTGCTCTTTAGAATTAAGTTCAACCACCAAATAATTGGAACTAGTGTTGCCAACAGAATTATCATGCCCTGCTTTTGTTCCTTTAACAGCTTGATATGCCAGAATCAGCAAGTGGAACTTCTCAGGGTCTAGAGATAAACACAATCAGCTGCTAGTAATTGTATATCAATTATTAAAGGCACAGTTGTAAGTTAAAAAGTTGGCAACTTTACTAAGAAATGTAATTTTATTTTAGCAGTGGTTGATTTAAGGTGACAGATTGTTAAGCGACCAAAAAGTCAAAGGCCATCTTCTTCTTTGAACAATACTGCGCAGTATCAATGGATGCCTTGCTCCATCATCATCCAGTCTGGGAAGCATCTGGTTAAGAGCTCAGTGCACTGACCCCTTGTGCCAATGGAGTACTTTAAACCTCAGGTACGGTGGTCATGTGTCCCATTTTATAGTGGATTGTCCCATATCTGAAGGGCTGTTAGAGACCAGTCTTCTGCTTGATGGGGTCCTTTATTTGAAAGATTATTTGGTTTAAAGATAAATAATCATAGGAAGGGAGAGTAGGGGCCTTGAGGTTGTCCATCAGCAGTGATTATCTGGCCAAAGGATTAAAGAGGCACACGGATCATTAGTCACAGTCTGCCCAGCACAATGAGGTGTATTTTTGTTTATAGTATTTTTGTTAAGCATATGCACATCTTATGCAATACTCTTTTTAGTGATGCACGAGTGGCCGCTCTAGCCTCAGCTTTTGCCATTTCTATATATCTATGCTAACTGTTGCCTTTGACAAGGACAATGGTATAAAGCATAGCTGTCAACTTTTCCCTTTTCCTGCGAGGAATCCTATTCAGAATAAGGAAATTTCCCTTAAAAAAAGGAAAATGTTGACAGCTATGGGATAAAGGGGCCCAGATAACTGAAAGGTTTCCATCAGGGAGCAACAGGTCATGTAAACAATACCATAGCCAGTTTTTAACCTTTGGGACAGGAAGTAACCCTTTTACCTTGTCTGCATTTACAGGAGCTTAATCTCAACAAGCAAGGGAAGCACAGATAATGGTAATCTAAGGCAGTTATCTGTGCATGGGCGTAGCTAAGGGGGATGGGGAGGGGCAGCTGGCCCCCTAGATCAAGTAAAACAATAAAAAACTAACTGACCAATCACGTCAGTCCTGCCCCCCCCCCACAAAAATCATGGCTATGCCCATATATCTGTGTCCCATGGTTTATTACTGACCATCCCTCAACACAGGTATAAACAAAATTTAAAAATTCCTTCCAGTAGCACCTTAGTGACCAACTAAGTTTGTTATTGCTATGAGCTTTCATGTGCACGCACACTTCTTCAGATACACTGAAACAGAAGTCACCAGACCCTTATATATAGTGAGAGGGTGGGGAGGGGTATTACTCAGAAGGGTGGTGGGAATGGGTGATTGGCTGATAGGTGTGGTAAACCTGTTGACAACTGTTAACGACTGCAATAGGTCGTTCCTACCACCCTTCTGAGTACCGTAATACCCCTCACACGAAAACTCATACCAATAACAAACTTAGTTGGTCTCTAAGGTGCTACTGGAAGGAATTTTTTTATTTTGTTTCAACTACGGCAAACCAACACGGCTACCTACCTGTAGCAGGTATAAACAAATCAGAGAAGAGGTTAATATAACACTCTCAAAATAACCCAAGGAACTATAGAGGGAATCCAGACCAAGTTCAGCATTTTGCCTCTATGCTCTTTATTTTTATTCACTTGTAGCAACATTCATTTTTAATTGTATGGATAGTCCTTAATCTACTACCCCTATTTCTGTTCTAACTAACTTGTAAATTGAATCTGATCTGCACAGTGTCTTTATTTCTAAATGCTGATTTTGTGAACATCTGTTTCAATCACAGTTGCAAAGCCATTACTTTTATGAGCCATACATATTTTAGATGGATTTACTGTTGACCTTTGTTGGGAAATTGAGTGTTTTTGTTGTTGCTAACATTTCTATAATTGATAACGTTGTTACTGCCACCGGGGTACTTTGTTCAAATGAAATACTGCAACTTGGCTTATCTTCTTATTTAAACATATTTAATCAGATAAATATTATTTAACTTTTCCTGGCTTTGAGACAAAATGTGTGATTAATCTCTTCAGTTTTAGATGCACATATTTCCTCACTGTTCAGACAAGATGCCTGAGCTTTATTTTTGCAAGTTCACCACAAGAGTTTTTAAGGCAGATAATACAAACCAGAGTAAATTAGGGTCACTTAACCTCCACTTAAATCAGTATGGCATGACTTACAACCTGATCCTGTGCAGATATAGGCATGACTAAGTCTGTTGATATCTAACTTTACATAATATTTCCCAACCCAAACTATTCTTTCTGGATTATTCCAGATTATTCAACAAATAGAGATGAATGACTAGATATCTTTCTTTCCCTTTAGAGTAGAACCAAAAAAAGATGCAAACACACAAACATATCCTGCTCCACTTTTGCTATCAAACAGGTAATGGCATAAGATCCAAAAACATCTCAAATGGGGCAGAATGTAATTTATAAAGTATTCCTTGATGTGCAGCACAGAAAAGTGATAGTGGGGATGTGACTTTAACAATAAAAGCTGCACATGGGTGAGGAATGCTAAACCCTCCCTCCCAACCACCATTTACTTTACAGCCACTCTCCCAAAACAGTTTTCTTCCTGCCAGATTCATTCTGGTATTGCAGCCCCCTATCTATGCCATGAATCAGCCCATGATGTTCAGGAAGATTCCTTGATCTTCCAGGGCGGTTGAGGGGGCACAGAGGGAAGAACAGGAGAGGACCTATCTACAGTGCTACCTCGGGTTAAGTACTTAATTCGTTCCAGAGGTCCGTTCTTAACCTGAAACTGTTCTTAACCACTTTAGCTAATGGGGCCTGCCACTGCGCCGCCATCGTGCAATTTCTGTTCTCATCCTGAAGCAAAGTTCTTAACCCAAGGTACTATTTCTGGGTTAGTGGAGTCTGTAACCTGAAGTTTCTGTAACCCGATGTACCACTGTATTGTATGAGCTGCCTCCCCTTCGCACACACCTTTGTAACATATTGTAGCACAGTTATAGGACATCTCAGCACCAGAGCTGAAATGAATATCTCTCAAAAGGTATTCTAGAAAATACATGTTCACTCCTCTAAAAAAGACCACTTTGAGAATGTTGTCCATATATTCGCCACATTTTGTTTCTTACAGCCATAATCTTGCGTCTACCCCCCGGGGACCCAAATGACACAAAGCCGGAGGAATGGTGTGGCATGCAAAATGATGGCCAGACTGGAAACATACTTGGTGAATCTGCAAGATAGCAGTGTGTGTTGGCTATGAAAAATGTAAAGCAAAGGTCCTTGCATTTCAAATGTTAGATACCACTCATAATGGATTTTAATTAAGATGTGTTTTTTGAAAACATTCATTTGCAAAAAATCTAAACTATGATAAAACGCCTTTAAATTACTAGTAGGACATTTTAATGAGTCAGGGAGAGAAAATGTTCACTTCTTCTTGACCCGTTGTATTATATTTTTATATAATCTTCACTTTCCCCCCAACGTGGATGTACTGGTTTGTTTGTTTTATTACAAATTTGAATGCAAAATGTTTGAGTGCAAAATGTAAAAGACTACAAAAAGCACTGGGTTCAATAATAAGTCACAGATTTGCCTTTGATTTTTTAGACAAGAAAACTGATCCTACAAAAGGAATCCACTTGCTAACATTTGGCCCAGTTAATAAAATATGAAGTTTGGAATATGAAAAACATGCAAAGCCCAGCCTGGGGGGAAAAAAAATCATGTCTATTTATTGCATACTATCTCCATTAAGACATTTTTTTTTTCTTAAGTTCAAAGAAGTTACTAACTGAAGTTCCTCCCCCCCCCACCCCCAGAATAAGGATGTGTCTTCTTCCTTACAACAGAATGAACAGGAAGGACGTCTGTGACCATCTGCCCTGAAATGTAGTGAGCAATTTATGTTTTCTGCAAAAGAGCCACAAGTTGCTTGTTTGGCGTTTATGACACTTTGTCACATTGAATCTTTGATAGGGCCATTGTAGCTAGAGGATGAGAGAGTCAAATTACTTTCACAAAGGGCTACCTGGGCTGACTTCGATCCTACTGCTTCAAGAGGATGCCTGGAGAGCAGGTTTGCCTGTTCGAAGTAGGTTATACAATGGTACCTCAGGTTAAAGATGCTTCAGGTTACTAACCCAGAAATAGTACCTTGGGTTAAGAACTTTGCTTCAGGATGAGAACAGAAATTGCGCAGCGGGAGGCCCCATTAGCTAAAGTGGTACCTCAGGTTAAGAACAGTTTCAGGTTAAGAATGGACCTCCGGAACGAATTATGTTCTTAACCCGAGGTACCGCCGTACAGGTGGCTCCTGGCTCCTCTTTTCATAGTAAGAAACTAATTCAGGGAGCAAGTAGGGCTAACCTCACAATTAGGCAGAATGAGGTGGCTGCCTCAGATGGTGGATGCCAGCCCACTAGAGGGCAGAGCTGTGTGCCATGCCCAGCTGCTATCTGGGGCAGCAAAGAATCACGTCACTCCAATCCTTGTATTGGTGATTTGCCAGGCCAGATTCAAGGTGTTGGTACTAGTATAAAAAGCCCTGAATGATCTGGTACCTGAAGAAGCACCTTCTCAAGTGTTGCCCCACCTGAACATTGGCACAAGCTGCAGACACCTTCCTTGTTGTGCCACCAATGACAGTTTCTAGCCACAGGTAGGTGGCCATGTTCGTCTGCCGTAGTTGAAACAAAATAAAAAAATTCCTTCCAGTAGCACCTTAGAGACCAGCTAAGTTTGTTATTGGTATGAGCTTTTGTGTGTGCATGCACACTTCTTCAGATGCACACGAAAGCTCATACCAATAACAAACTTAGCTGGTCTCTAAGGTGCTACTGGAAGGAATTTTTTTATTTAGTTTCTAGCCAGGCAGTGCATTCTCTGTGATCCCCCGCAATTTTGGAACACCCTCCTGAAGGATGTCTGGTTGCCCCCTTCATTGGTATATCCAGGAACCGTGTAAATTCTTTTTTTAAAAAAAATGCATTTAGGCAAGTAATATATTTGCTGGCTCCTTTTTTAAATCTTGATTTGGTTGTATGTCCAGCTGCTGAGGGTTAGCAGTTTAGAAATTGAATAATGCCAGATGAAGTGATGTACATGGATGTGTGAACTGATCCAAAGATAGGCGCAAGGGGGGTCATAATGATGGTAGAAATGTTAAAATAGCCTGGAAGAATATTAAACGACTGACATGGAGAGATGAATCAAGAGGTAAGTCCAGCAAGGATGGTGTTGCAGTGTTGAAAGTGGGCTTTGACAATGTATGTGAAGTTCATTATTATGTTTTAAAATTATGGGAATATTCCTGAAGCCATTCCATATGTCATACACATTGACATATGGGAAGAGTGTATTTATTTTTTACATATGGTACTACCTAAGCTGTCTAAGCATACACAAGTCTTGCTGATACAAAATAACATGGGCAAACCGGAAAACATTATGTATTTTAAGTCAGGGAATTACTCCAGGGAATTACTTCCATAATGTAAAACCATGAAGTGGAAAGCAATCATCCTTTGCCTATGCAAATTATTTTATATTCAGCCCTGATATGACTTTATCTTCTGGGGAAGGTGATTGAGAGGGTCATGGTGGAACGACTGCAGACATTCCTAGATGAGACTGATTACCTGGATCCAGGGGCAAAACTAGGCTTTGTTTCACCCTGGTCAAAGATCCAGTTTGGCACTCCCCATGTGCATTTGCACACGCACACACACAGCACCTGGGAGACTCAATGGCGCCCCTCTGGAGGCTTCACCTGGGATAGAAACCACGGCTATCTGTAGCTCTGGCACTGCCTGAATCCATTCCTAGCTGGGTTCAGGCCTGCTTTCAAGACTGAATAAGCCTGGTGTTTGACCTTTATAAGGAGAAGAGGAGGATGTGGGCAACTCTGCTCCTTCCGCTTGAAGTCTCAGCAGCTTTTGATGCCCTTGACCATGGCATACTCCTGGCCTGACTGTAGGATGACTACGAGTGGCACTGTGTCATGGTGGCCCTGCTCCTACCTGCAGAATCATATCCTGAGAGTAGCATTGGGAGAGGGTGCACCACAGTTCCCTGTGATGAGCCACAAATTGATCTTCAACATCTATCTGGGCTTTTGGAATGGGGTGTCATCAGCATGCTAATGATGCCTAGCTCTATTTCGCCACTAAATCTGAGTCTGTAGAGACCGTGTAAGCCCTGGACCCATGCCTAGACTTGTGGTGGTAGACTAGATGGTAAATGAGAGTCAATAAGCTGAGCTTGAATCCTGGAAAGACAGGGGCCTTGTGGGTGAATGGTTACTGTGTCTGGGAGATAGGTCAATTGCCTGTTATGGACAGAGTTTAAGAGCAGCTTCACAGCTTGAGGGTACTCCTAGATCCATCTTTGCCACTAGACACCAAAGTGACCTCTGTGGGTAGGAATACTACCTACCAGTTTCGGTTGTGACCATTCCTGAACTGGGAGAACTTGATCATAGCAGTCCTTGCATTGGCATCCTCAAAACTTGATTACTACAACACACTTTTTGTGTGGCAGCCTGTGAGTCTAGTCCAGAACAACTAATGCAGAGTGAAACAGCCAGACTTCTTAGAGGAGCTGATTATGGGCAACAGATTATTCCTTTGCCAAGAGAACTGCACTGGTTGCCAATTTGCTACTGGACCAGGTTCAAGGTTCTTGAGTTAATTCACAAAGTTCTAAACTGGTTCCAAAGTATCTTAAGGACCACTTGATTCCTTATGCTCAATTTTGATCACTGAGATCTTCTGACGTTTGATTATCTGCCATCTCCCAGAGACTTGGTTGGCTTTTACCAGGGACCGAGCCCTTAGTGTGATAGGCCCTGCGCTGTGGAACTCCCTGATACCAGAAGTACAGGAGCCACCCTGCCTTTCTTTTAGCTGTCTTTTAAAAACTCTATTGTTCATACAGGCTGTTGGAATTTATTAATTTTTTTACAATAAATTTTTATTCACCTGTTACCGATGCTTTTAGAAATACTGTCATTGGTGTGTTATGTTGTAGACCACCTTGCTATAGTTCCTATAAAGGTGGAGGTTTATAAATATTTAAATCAAGACACAAAATAAAGAAAGAGAAGGCCTACCCAGATGTGCTTTGACTGCACCCACAGCTGTGGTCAAGCAGCATTGAGCAGAGTGGCACTTACCTGTGAGGAAACATGCCTGAAAGTGCACTCCTGGACTCCGAGAGCTCCATTTCGAACAGAAACACATTCCCACTAATTCAGACACCGATAATCTTTTTAAAAAAATAAATAAATCCCTGTAACCAATTTTATGTTTTTCATGCCTCATCCCTTACACAGAAACACAAGGCTGCCTTTTAATAAAGCCCCAATAATGATCCTGCTTTAAAGGACAAGGGCTAATCACTTCCTGCTTAGCATTCCAGCCACATGACGGTGGAGATAGAATAAATCAGTGAAAACAGCAAGATGCAGCGCAACTAATTTTCATGTAAAAAGGGGTGATTGCCTTTAAAAAAAAGAAAACACCACCATTGTGATGTTTTTTTATAAAGCCGTTAAAGCCCCAAACACCCTCGTCTATCGGTTTATGAATTATTAATTTTTTAAAAAAGCGAGAAAGGAGGCCTCTCCCCCTCCCTCTGGAAAAACCTCATCTGCTAAGCCACCACAGACTGAAGTGCCTCACACTGATTCCTGATTTACATAGTCCCAGTTGGAAGCTAATGAAGACTGCTGAGCCACCTTTCAACATGCAGATAAACCTTCATGTATTTAAAAGCAGGGAATGCGCGCTTGTTGCTGGCAAATTATTCATCTAAGATCTGAAGTTTCTGACACCGCCTGCGTCAGATAAACTGTCACCCAAATTGCAAACTAATTAGTGATTCAAACATTTTCGAGCTGATTGATGACAGAATAATTTACGCTTGTTTCTCCGTTTCCAGCTGGCACAGGCTGCTGACTGGAGCCCTAATTAGCGAGAGTACATCAGTCATGTTCTGCCAAGGCAGCACATACAATTAAAAGGCAGTTTAAATGGAATATCACATTAAAAAGGCTGGTAGATGCAAATGTGAGGAAACAGCACTTTAGGAAGAAATGACAACAGAACCCCATAAACCAAAACAGAATAGAAGAAGATCTTTTTTTAAAAAAAGGAAGAAGGAACTTTGCCTGACGCAGATTATTTAACCAAACCAAACAAGCAAAAAGGCAAAATGTACATGGTAATCTGGGGGATTCTGGAAAACATTGTCTCATTTTAATATTCTGGGCAAATAACATTTCCCCCCCTCAAAAAATTGTCTGGGTGGTTTCAAGAGCCTAGTTTGGAAAGAGCACCCACCTTTTAGGCACCTTCCGTCTTGTCCTAAAGAGGGAAGATTAACTTCTTTGCCTTCCCCTTCTACCTCCAAATCCCCACCCACATCTGCACCTCTTAATCCATACTTAAAGATGAAGAAACCCAGCCTGTACTTAGCTTCCTGCCAATGAGCTAGGGATTTGTAAGGATTGCTTGCAAGACACAGTTCCAAATAATCCAACATCTGGGTTTAGCAAAGCTTATCTTAATAGTCAAAGACTCAAAGCTAACGCTGCAATCCCATACTCACTTACCAGGAAGTATGCCCCAGCGAACTCAGCAGAGCTGCTTCTAAGTACGCATGCATAGGATTTATTTATTTATAAACGTATTTATACACCGCTAAATCACAAAACATATCAAAGCAGATTAGAACATTAAAAAGTTAAAAACCATACAATAAAAGCATTAAAAAATGTGAAAGCAAAACAGCAGGCATTTAAAAGTTAGCACTGAAGGTGCCCACTGACTCTCCAGTGGCAGAGAGTTCCACGGGACTGGGCAGATGACACAAAACACCAAGTTTCTCATTGTTGTCAAACGAGCCTCACCGATTTAGGGGAAAACCAAAGACGCTCCTGCAGATAATCTCAGCGATCAAGCTGGTTGTATCTTGGACCCAAGTTGTTGAGAGCTTTGCAAATTTGTTCTTTGCAAATTAATAGAAGAACCTTGAACCTGTCTCGGTAGTAGATGAGCAGCCGGTGCAGCTGTTTTAACAATAGAGTCACATGTTCTTGGCCAGAAGTTTCCATTAGCAATCTGGCTGCAGCACTCTGCAGCAGCTCTAGCTTCCAAACCGACCCAGATTGTGCTATGAATTATTATAATGAGTTTTTCTTTAGCTCTAGCAGCTAAGGCTCAGCAAGCATTTGACTGTCTTACAAACTGCAGTGTACTTTGAGCAAGTATAGCTCTTGCACAGTGTACCTTCATTGCCAACAACACAACTGAAATTTCTCCCTGCCTGCCCCGCCAGAAAAGTTGGAATTGATTTGTTCAAAACCAAAGCCAGGAAAGTAGATTTCAAAGCAAAGGAGTGCAATGTTTTAACATCCACTATTTAAAATGTCTAGTGGATCTAGCCATCTAGAGGGTTTTTGTTTGTTTGTTTGTTTGTTTGTTTTGTAAACTACAGTGTTGGTGTGGATATGGGGGACTCATCTATTTTGGCAAAGAAAAAGCACTTTATATGCGTTATAACACTGTGACACCAGATGGCGCTGTGGAGTCCCGCCTTTCACCAACGTGATTTCCCTTTATGAAGTTTAGAACACATTTTCCTGAAACGCTTTTTTGATTTGTCTAGATCCAGCCTTGGAAATCCCTGTTCAAATTTCCATCCATTTACAAAGTACTTTCAGGGTTTCATAAACAGGAAATGTTGTAGCTGGTGATGGGCTGGATAATACAGCCAGCTATCCTTATGCCAGCCATCACCACCACCTTCAATCTGAATTGCAGGTCAAAAGGC